GCTGTGCAGCAGATCTCTTAGAAGTTGAGGAAGAAATAAGGTTCAAAGGCTGGGCACGTTGGCTCAAGCATGCAATCCCAGCAATTTGTGAGGCCGAAGCGGGTGGATCACTTGAGGTCAGGAATTTGAGACTAGCCTGGCCAACACAGTGAAACCTTGTCTCTCCTAAAAATACAAAAATTAGCTTGTCCTGGTGGCATGCCTGTAATCCCAACTACATTGGAGGCTGAGGCAGGAAAATCACTTGAACCTGGGAAGCGGAGGTTGCAGTGAGCCAATATCCACCGTTGCCCTCCAGCCTGGGCAACAGAGTGAGAGTCCATCTCAAAAAAAAAAAAAAATTTAAAAGCAAAAAGAGAGGGAGAGAGAAATAAGGTTCAGTTAAATTTGATAGTGCCATGCGGAACACTTGACCTGCCCAAAATTTATTAACAGATTTGCTTCTGGATATGAGTAGCAATGATTTTCATAATTCCTGATATCCCTGTTCCCTTAGCTATTAAAGGTATTTTAAAAATGTTAATTGTTTTACTCATTTCATCTGTCACAGTTAAGACTTCCTCACTGATATAGAAAACAAGTGTCATAACTGGTGCAATCAAATGTATCATTGTACTTATTCCAACGTCCTTCAAGACATTTGGAGTTTTTCTTTGTCGCAATTTAACATGTCATTTCTCTAGTCTATTTTTCCTACACAGAACTGAAGAACAACTACTGTAATGGAAACGCCACAAAACTTTGACATGTTGATAGCTTTCCAGTGGTCAAACAGAATTATGTAAAATTGTGTTATCTGCCTTCTTTCAATATTAGTTTACAGTTAGCAGGTGTTCTTAATGCTTTGAGAACGTGATGGCAAACAAAACACAAAATGTGGTTTTACCAGTTCTTCACAGTATACCTTAATTTGAAATAAAATATTCAAGGCAGTTATTTGTTGTTCAGATATGTTTAGTAACATAAGAAGCATGAAGGATTTCAGTAAATAGGATATTTAATTTCTGAAATGATAGAATTTCTGAACCTAGATTATTATTCCGTAAAGGTGAGAAGTTGGGAACTTGCTGTTTTACAAAGTCTTTTCACATTTATCTAATTGTTTATGGCTTCCTTTGAGAAGGAAGGTTTAGTACATACCAGAAACCATTTATTTTTTGCAGATTTTTTTGGCCACTTTCCATTTACAGAGCCCTATGGTCATGTAACTAGGGTTTTATAATTGCAGGCTTCCTAAGTAGTTTGGTGTAAATAATATTTAATATAAGTATAATTCTTTATAATTGATATGGAATAGTCACACATGATGCCATATGATCCTCCTAACGAGTAAACTGAAATTTTTAACCCTATTTTAAAGAAGAGAAAGCATTGTGACTCAAAAGTTTCAGCTACTTGCCTGAGATCACAGTTAGCAAGTGGAATCGGAACCTGGAGCCACACGCATTTTTCAGGATCCTTCACCTTCTTACTTTTTGTATGTCTCTTATTTAAGGTGTATAGATTGTTAACTCATTCAGTAACTATAATAATCACTATCCAATACGTACCTGGCTAGTGACAATTATCATAGAACACATTTCAAATGTCTTGAAACATACTCATGTGAATCATATACCTAAATTAAAAGAAAAATGCGGTTTGAAGGCATACAAAATTTGAAAGCCAGAAAAAAAAGGAAATCTGGTTAGATTATGCCTTAAAGGAACTTTAAAAATACAGAATTATAAAATTTTAATTACCTCATCTTCAAAAATAAACTCAAATTTTATTTACCTTGCATATGTTTTTTATGTGGTATATTTAATATCTTTCCTCCAGACAAATTCTATGAAAAAGTTGAAAAGTTTTTGATAAAAAATTATTGCAAGAGTTTTGCAATATCAAGAGGAGAAAAAAGAGACACACAAATACCACTTGTGAAAGATGAGAGTAAGATCAAGTGAGTTGATGAGCATTCTTGTGTGTATGGCTTGCCACAGATCTTTATACTTGTTCTTACCTACTCCTAAAAGGCTTTTCCTCCAGGGATCTTATGAATTCTCACTTTCACTTCCCTCAGGTCTTTGGCCTGATGTCGTTCTTTCATTTGATACTTTCTCTGCCTGCTCTATTTAAATATGCAACCTCACTCTAAGAACTATCTGTTCTTCTTACTTTATTACATAGCATATATCACAGGTTAACATCCACATATTTTATATATTTATTTTATTTATTGGTTGCCTCCTCTCATTAGAATGTAAGTTCCATGAGATAGAGTAGATAATTTGATCTGCTTTGCTTATTGTTGTATTCCTACCACTTAGCCAAGTTGTAGGAACTAGGTTGGCATTCAACAAATACTTTTTTTTACACAAAGAAAACAAGAGAGAATGAACTAAGAAAAGTAAAAATGGAAGGCAGGCAGGCAAGAAGGCAGGAAGGAAGCAAGGAAGGAACGAAGAAAGGAACGAAGGAAGGAAAGAAGGAAAAATGGAAGGACCAAGGGGAGTGAGGGAGAAAGAAAGGAAAGTCAAAAGGTATGTAAAAAGTCTTTCACATTACCTCTGCAGGAAAGTACCAGTGGTAGCATCATCTTTTAATTCGTGCTATTAATTAGGGTCCCAAGTACTAAGAGATCTGGAGGCAAAACCATTCAAGAGAGAAGGAAATAAAAATAGGGAGGCTCATAAAAGTCAGGAAAAATAAGTAATATAAACAACCAATCAGGACTGGCCTTGATGGTTAATATTATTGTGCTTGATTCTCATAAGGAATGCTTCATGAAAGGAAATGTGAGGCTGGCCACAGGATAGACAGAAGTTAATTTGAGACATGGTGCCCAAGTACCCAGAGAAGTGTAAAGACAGACAGTGAGAACTAGAGTAGAGTGTAAACTCTGGTTTTCTATTGCCTGATTCTATGCTTTTCAAAGCTTTCTGCAGACAAAGAAAATAATGAAGGACAAAGGAGGGACAGTAAGTCATGCATCACCTCGAAAATATTTGCCAGGGTATTTTTGAGTAGTGTTATAATGTATCCTAATACAGGTACTTTCATTTATATTTTGAAATTGATTTATACATTGACAAGCTATTACCTAAATAGACACAAAGTTGTTTGCATTAAGAGACAATAGCATACATATTAAATCCACCATTTCATTTTTAAGGATTTGTTCAAAGAGAATAATCAGGGAGTTGTTTTTACAGAGATATTAGAAGTCCATTATCTTCAGCTCAGCATATGCAGTGGAATGGAAATCTTTTGTCGTACAACAATAAGCACAAGTAAGGGATGTGGAGTCATTAAAAAGAGAAAATTTTAAACTTACCTAAAATTTTGCTATAGTATGAATTCCATTCTCCCCAGTAGGACTGAAATATATAGTCTTGCAGAGAATAAGATATCATATTTTTAATCCTTTCACCAAAAGTCATCTGGTCAGTGAGCTCTGACAAGGCTGCCGGTACATAGGAGACCGGTGCTGGGATTTTCCCACAGTGTCTCTCCACTGTTGATGCTGGAGAGAACCTCAATGTGTACACAAATGGGATTCCTAATTTCAGAGCAATGAGATCACCACAGATTGTTACTGGGTCTGCTACTAACACTTCAAAACCACCTTTCTGAAGTCTTTCCATTAACTTGGGGTTGTTTAGTACACCATCACAGATTTGCATATTAATTTGAAAGAAAGTGTCTAGAAGGTTTCCTAGTTCTTTGTAGAAAGCCCATATTGTGAGAGGAGTTGGTCTATGGTCAATCCACAGCATTATCATATGCTCAATTAAGGAATCTACATTGCTCTTCTTGTAGGAAACAGGTATCACTTCAAAATTCACAGGAGAATCAGGATTGGAGTTGATGAATAGAGTTGCTGATGAAGCCAGTACAGTCACATTGTGATTTCTTTGAATCAACTCTTCTAGAATAATCTTAATATTTAACCAATGGCTACCATCTGTAGGCCAAATTAACACATTCCCACTTAGAGCAATTTCAGTCAGAGTCAAGTTAAAAACCAGCATCTGGACAAACTTCTTAGGCATGGTGAAATCCATTATGGAAACCATCCTACTGTAGGTCCTTCAAGATGTAAAAAAACAAAATAAACCAAAAAACTTCAAAGTACATCTAGGTCAATTTCTAAATAAAATAATACTTAATGCGATGGTTACACTGAGTTATGGGTCAACTGATCTTCAGATTAAAATAGAATATAATTCAAATTCCTATATGCACTTACATAATTATTTCAATAACAGAAATAAAATTTGGTTAAAGAAAAGGAGGCAGGGGTGTTATAAACCTACAATCTGTATATTCTGGGATAATAACTATGATTTATAAAATACATCTTTAATATAATACATTTTTCGCAAAATTGATTAAACAACTTTCTCTCAGAGGAAGTTTGCTCAAAGATTTCAAGGTGTTTTAGATTATATGGATTACAGAGTAAAATACTATGCATTTGATATAGAATAGCTTTCTTCTCCATAAAGCCAATTGATCATTGTCTCCTATGCCTTTGTTACAGGGAATTTTTCAGTTTCTTCCATATGACACAAATGAAGAAGATATGGCCTGGTACTCCAAAGAAGCACAGACTTTGTTATTCAGAGAAGTTAGGTAGATACTGGAGTTCAATAGATTCAGATTCAAATATTGTCCTTTTATAAGAATTCTGACCTCAGGGAATTATCGAGACCCTCCCATTCTAAGTTTTCTCAAAGAAAAATGAGAGGTAATGACATTGATTTGTTGTATTACTTTGTGGATTAACAATAGTATCTGTAAAGCTACTGTTCCTTCTTCTTGGTAGAGAGCAAGGGTGTAGTAATGTTAAAGGTTTAATAAATTTGTCTAAAGATCGATTAGGAAATCCATGGGCCAGCTGCAGAATGACTGGCTAGACTTGGACATAACAATATCAGATATGGATATAGTGTTGCAATTCTTAGTGAATTCCAAACTGAATAGTAGCAATTACGTAAGAATTCTGTCTTGAAATAGTTAGAGGCCACCATTAAAACGAGAAATATGAACAAATAAAGTGATTAAAAGGATAATAATCAAAAATTAAGATTAGAAAATAAGTGATGTATTTTAAATTTATTCTCAGTTGCCCTTAAATCATGTAATTTCAGGCCCTTGAATAACAAAAGAACCAGGAGGGCAGAGAACAGGAAAGACAAGAGAGAGAAGTGATGGTTTTAGAATTTTTGCATTTATGTCCTTTCAAGAGTAAGCCTCAATTTGAATATAGTGGCAGTACCTTAAAAATTAATTAGATTTTGAAACCAGGCAGCCAGAGAAGAGTGTAAATAATCTTAATGATCTTCAAAATAAGCCCAGGAAAAGGGGATTAAAAATCTTCATAAAGAAATCTGTTGCTGTCAAACTTTCAATAAAAAGTAAAGAAAACACAACACTATAGAAAACATGAAAGTCTATCTATAAAATACTTAGATTTGTTCAAAAGTTGAGTTACATGTAAGGAAAATATAATAATTAATTAGGGATTACTCACAAATGTAGCTACGATGGTACATAAAAGCTTATCAAAATATGCTTCAAAATCTCAATACCTATAGATATCCCTAAATTACCGAGAGTAAGGGGAAAATGATGATTTTAGTCAACTTCCACTTTTAAGTAATATCTGCAGGGTGATAAAATATTTATCTAATTTAGTGAAGAACAATAAAATGTATATAATGCTTTTAATTTGAATTGATTATCCTATTATTTACTAAATAAAACAACATTTTATTTAGTAAAATGTATATAATGCCATTAGCCTGAATTGATAATCCGCAAAACAACATTCTGGTATGAAAATATTTTTC